GGCGGCCGGTGCCTGCGGGGGTGCGCGTGCTGCCTTCGTGCCCTTTCCTGGAACTTCTTCAGTTCACCGTCTGTTTTCCCACAGGGTTACTTTTTTCTTGTATGATTCCACGGGTTTTCTGTATGTCTCATTTCATACATGTTATGCTACGCTGTCTTCCTACATTGCATCGCTGCTTCTTTTTCAATTACAGCGACAGTGTTTTATGCCAGTGTCAGGCGTACAGCACGGCGACTGGACCTGACATGACCCGCAGGACCCCTCGCTGAGCCTAGTGCGCCCTGGCCGCGCGCGTGGTTACTACCGCGTCGGTGACTACTCCCGGTGCTGTACTTTATGTCCCTGTGGCTCTTCGTAATGACCAATTGCACTTACTAATCCCTTCACTGTTTTCGCCTATCTCCCCAGCTGCCCTCCCCTCTGGCAGCTGTCAGTTTCTTCTCCGTACCTGTATCTGAGTCTGTTTCTGTTTTATTTTGTTCTTTAGATTCCACATATAAGTGGAGCCATATGGTATTTGTCCTTCTCTGACATTTCACTTAGCATAATACCTCTAGGTCTGTCCCTACCGTTTCAAATCGTAAGATTTCATTCTTTTTTGTGGCTGAGTAATGTCCCATTGTATATCGTTACACAGGTTTTTTAGCCACTTACCTGGGTACTTGGTTGCGTCCATATCTTGACTATTATAAATAACACCTCAATGAACATAGGGGTGCATATATCTTTTCGAATTAGTGTTTTGGATTTCTTTGGATATACACCCACAAGTGGAATCACTGGGTCATAAGATAGTGCTATTACTGATTTTTTGAGGAAGCTCTGTACTGTTTTCCGCAGTGGCTGTGCCCGTCTGCAGCCTCATCAGTTCAACCAACAGGGTTCGAGTTCACCCTTCTCCCCACGTCCTCACCAGCACTTGTTTGTTGACTTATTGTTGATAGCCATTCAGACAGGCATTGCATCACTTTTTAAAAAAACTTTTGTTTTGGTATCCTTTACAGAATTAAAAATTTTTAATGTAGTCAAATCCGCCGTATTTCCTGTTTCTGGCCCTTGGATTTTGTGTCTCATGTATAAAGGCCTTCTTCAAGCTTACATTTTTCCTCAGTTTTATCGAGATGCAATTGACATACAGCATTGTATTACTTTCAGGTCTACAACGTGATGATACGATATTTGTATATATTGTGGAATGATCGCCAGGATAAGTTTAGTTAACATCTGTCACCTCATATAGTTACAGTTTTTTTTATTATGGGAACTTTGAAGATTTACTCTCTTATCAGCTTTCAAATATACACTCCAGTATTTTCATAATTTTAACGTTTTTATTTTTAATGATATATCTGCAACTTATTTTTGTGTATGGTGTGGGGGAAGGATCCAGTATTTTCTTTCTCCTGAAAATACCTGAATAGTTAATAAATATAAGAAATTAACTCGTAATCAGAATGGGATACCACTTTCCACCTGCCTGATGGACAGGACTGGAGATGGATTTTACCGCGTGCGGTGGTGCTGTGGGTGAGACCCCCCTGGGGGGCAGGACTGGAAACCGGTCCTGTGCTGTGCTGGTGGTGGCTGGGACGATGCTCCGCTGGCCCGAGTCCATCAGGGTGGCTCTTGAGCAGAGCCGCCCGGTTGCACTGGTGAACCCCAGCACCCACCTCTTACGCCCAGCAGCTCTGGGCTTGTGTTCTAGGAAACCTTCCACACAGGCTCAGGAGGGGCGCAGAGGAGGCCGTTCAGTGCGCTGCGGGCGGCAGAGAAATGGGCAGCGAACAGCGCTGTAGCAGAGGCTCCTGGTGCCCGGCCCGTGTTCGCGGCACCCACCATTTCTGACGCAGCACCTGCCCCTCCTGCCCAGGAGCTTCATCCCGCAGCCGGAGCCAGTGCTGCCTGCCTGCGGGGCAGGCCTGGCTGCCGCAGAAGCTCACCTCGCAGTGTGCCCTTGACACCTTCCTGGCCTCCCCACCCCACTTCCCCGACGAACTCTCAGGGTTTCTCGGGGCCATCTCCCAAGTGAGCCACGTGCACCCACATTCTGAGATGCACTCTCATCTCAGAGTCTCCCTCTCTGGGTCCCAAACAGGACAGATGGATACCATGCGTGCCACATGGCTGCTAAGAGCAGCACATACTCCCGGGCACACGCTCGCCAGCAGGAGCACAGCTTTAAAACCCAGGCGCAGATGGGCGCCAGACGTATCGGGGGATCACTTTCTAAGTTATATAAATGTGTAAACATGCTGCACACCTGGAACTAATATAATATTGAATGTCAACTGTAATTGAAAGATAACAATTAAGAAAAATTATTTTTAAAAAACCCCAAAACTAAGAACCAGATGACAAAATAGGAAGTAGAATGAACTTTTGAAGCACATACCATTTATATAAATAAAAAAATCATATAGATGAAATAACAGCATGTTTTATCTACATTGCAGTTCACACTCTTGACATTTTAGGGCCCCAGGGATCTGGTCCTCTGGCTCTCCCTGGCACGTTACATCACAAAATCGAGCTCCTGACAGTAAGGGGTGGCCGGCCCCCTTCCCAAGCTGCCAGCTCAGGCACTCGGTGTGGAGACGGTGAGGGCAGGTTTCCGGGAGGCCTGTGTTGTCTCTGATCCTGATTCTACTTCTTTCTCATTGAGCAAATGTGGCGAGCTAATTAACTTTCTGTCCCTGAGAAGAATTGGGAAGGTGGTACTACCTACTACCCAGGGTGGTGGTGGGGAGAGACCAGGATTGTCCTTGTAAAGTGTCTCCTGGCACATGGTGTGTGCTCCCTCACCGCCTCAGCCAGGGCTTCCGTGAGTTCCCCTGCCCCACAGATGCTTGGCCTGCTGGCTCCCCCTGATCTGGCCTTTTCCTGACAAACGTTTGCCTCGGTTTCTGTTAGGTGCACTCTCTAAGGAAAGCCTGGTTGATGCCACTCAAGGTGCCATAAAATGATCATGCTGATGGGGACAGCACACTCTTAAGTCCACTTTGGCCTCAATGTGAAAAATCACTGCAGAGGCCTTGGGCATTTTTCAGTTTCCTGGTGTCTGAAATTGGGGA